TATAACAATGTTCATAGGTTTATGTTGCTTGTATATAAAGCCGTAATAAAATATCGTTCATTCAAAACAACTAATGTTTTCGAAGATAACTAAAAGGGTTTAATATTTAATTATATCGTAAAATTTGATTTGTACACCGAAAGAAACTGTTTAGAGAAAGAAATGAATACGAGCAAATAACTGATCATTCATTGTCAGTGAAATGTATTCTGAATTTGACATTGTGGAGAGGAACGAATAAGTTGGTTTCGTTCATACATTCGGAAGATAAATGAATTTACAGTATAGTTAACAGAATATTGACGGAAAGACTGATATAAAGTATATATTTATGTTAATTAAACTAATTGAAAGTTTGGTTAAAAATGATTTTCATTACAGAATGAAATTATCATTGAAATTAAATTAATATTTACAAAACTTCCTATTAGACAATGATTGAATACTCACTAATCAATACGTTTGATAGGAAATCCAGGAGTTTTAAGATGTTATGTATAGTTAAGTTAAGCCATAACTACGTTGAGTTATTTATCCACAGATCGATCAGCGTTGTTTACTAATAAGTTGCCTTATTATCATGAAATGAAATCTGAGATATTGATTTCTAGCTTGTTGGTCAAAAATCCTCTTGGATTCATTCATTTTATCAGATTCGTCTTGTATTTAATATTAAACTATTCAACTATGAATATGCCCATAACTTGTGTATCATTTATTTTGAAATATTGATCAATATTATAAATAACGATACCTTTCTTTAAGATTCGTTTATATAAATGAATAAGCAATAGCTCAGTTCTGAATCTACTTTAGCTAACTTCTTCTTTCAGTACTTAAATAGTTAAAATTTCGAGAAAGAAACAGAAAGAATTTTTAAGCGAGCCTAAAACCAATCATAGTTTGTTGATCTCAGGACCAATTCATGTCAATGAGCCGGAAAGATTATTAAGGTAAGATGAACGTCCCAGTAAATGATGAAAGTCAATTTCAAAAAACTGATGATAAAGAGCGACAGAGTAGACGAGATTAAAACACAGTCAACACTGGATGTTGACTCAATAGTTTGGAGACTAAGTGTCCCTGATGGGAACATGAATGAGTAAAGCTGGGGAATTTCGTACTAATATGGAACAGTTGTACTGTGGCTCATGGTTTTCAGTGGTGATCTAGTTAAGATCAGATGATGATTTAAACCATGGAAACTAACAGACTTATTTAGAAAGGTTAAACAAAGTTTAATATGAGGAAGCTCATTTGAAACACTAAGACTTTATAAAAATACCAATGCTATGCGATTTGCCTAAAATATATAAAAAGAAGCATGGTTATTCGATAAGTGTCAAATATTAGTATAGAGTCATGATGGAAAATCAACTCAAAAGAATTTTCGGTCTGTTTTTTGCATCTTTTTTCAAAAACGTTAACATCTTTGCAATCTCTTTAAAAAATATTTGGCATGTAGGCAAAATACTTCAGAACCCTGCATCATATTTTGGCTGTCTGTAAAGATGATTTTATTCATAAATCGTCTTTAAAATATATTTGGCTGTATTTATAATCGTTCTTTACTGTAATATGATAATAAACGATAGATGAATTGCTGTCTTCAGTGATGTGCCTTTTCTTAAATCGATTAATTTTACTACTGGTCTGTTGATTGTCATTTAATTTAAAAGTTAAAATATTTTAGCTATCCATGATCCAGGTTTTATTGTGATAACATGCTATAACTGTGACGGCAGCCGATTAGAAGACAGCGAATTATCGATCGGACCAAAGACGCGCAAACACTTATGAACGGCCTAGGGTTCTGATTGGTCCCGCTTCCCTGTCTAGCCCAGTCAGTTGAGTACAGAACACAAGTCTCAGCCTCGGAGATATAAATCATTATATTTCAAACACACTCTGTTTATATACTAATCAAGCAGACCACATCGTACCATAAAGTAGAAGATAACATTGTACAATATTGACCAGTAGGAAAATGGCACGTGAAATAAGTGCTGACCAATAAGAAAATAATACCATCTCCAAGTCCAAGAATAGCATTAGACTTAATAGAATAATTTTTGGGATATCAATTTTTCGGGTCACATTTTCCTTCATAACTTTCGAACGGATTAGTATTTTTCAATGGGGGTTTCTTTGTGTTAATAATCTAATTGAGTACTATTAAATGATGTTTAATGTGTAAACGTACATTACGATTTGTGCTTGACAATTTACACCTGCTCTTACTCGCCATGCTATGTAGGGATACGACCCCTAACTGAGGGTCTGAAAAGTCGGAAAAATGAGAATTTCGCAAATGCGATAAAAATGATCTCGGTAGTCTAATAATAGTATTCTGACACAAAAATGGATCTTAAGAGTTCTTTAAGCCCTAACGCTTCAGGTTGGGTTATTTCGTTTATTACCCTACATATGTGTTGTGTGCAGTATAAGCTATATTGCTATGTGGAGCTGAAGGTCTAATATAAGACTGTAGGTTCGCCATTGATATTGTGGATGGCTCGGCATTACTTTGGCAAGTTTTGCTGACTGTTCGTGCACAAAATTGGTCTATTAGTTGACCGATTTCATTCATACTGGTGGTTGCTTTTCGGTGTTCTCAAGGGCCATTGTAACTGGGACATTGTAAAGCATGTCGCGATTGCTAACACTAATGAATTTGACTGTCGCATAAGCGGAATAGGTCAACTTGGCCTGTTCGTGCTGCGCATAATTGATTCACGCGACCATTGGTCGGAATTACTATACATGTGACGTGAATGTGTATATGAATAGTGCGAATGGTCCATCAGGGTTGCGCCACAAGATTGAGCTGTACTATTCAGATGGTAGAGTTATATATGGTGTCTGGTTCTCCTGAAAACCAATGTAAAACTACCCTTGCCGACAAGGGTATATTATATAACTATGTAACGCTAATTAGAAGCGGAATGTTTGTTAGCCGAAGATTAAGAAGATTTAATTGAAAGAAACAGGAATGTAAGCAAAAAGCAATTGTAATAACAAAAGAAATGAAAGAATCATGCAGCATGTAAATGACAACTGGAGGAAAGTGTGCATATACTGTATTTGTTGTCTGGTTTTTAAAATCTCATGAACGCACTCTGTAATTTTGAGTTGAACAATAAATTAGTCTCCCCTACCTCAGTCCTCGTAAATTACACTACTAACATTTACCCAACGTATGCACTTTATCTGTTTAAATCCTTATTAAAAACCGGTACTTAAATGGATATCAAGTGCCCGCATGCCGATAAAAGCTGATCAGTTACAGTCTTTAACATAAAAGACGAGTAAATGCAAAACTTTATAAATATAATTGGTTATATTAGAGTGACAATGTTTAAAGTAATAGAAGCGTACACTGAATTTCTGCAGATCTGAAAATAAATTTGTTCTAAATTGATTACAAAATATGATAAGTGATATGCAAAAAAGTAATTTTTCCACAATTATAGACATATTTTATGAATAAAAATGGAGAATATGGTTTTTTAAATCATTAATTGCATTCTAGGGGAAAATTGACTCAAGTTACATGGATTTTAACGAGAAATTAAAAAAAAACCCACTTAGATATCTTGTGATAAACGTTTTGAGTTTATTATTTAGGGCGTCTAAGCATGAAGACTTTCGTAATATCCTTAGTATTACAGAATGATAATATAAACGTATATAAACATAAATAAATATTGATAATATCTCTCATTTACTACGTGAATTTAATGACTTTCATTGTTTTACAAATTACTAGTCCTGTTCGTGCTACCGGGTTTGTATCTTCATCGGTAGCATTTGTGTGTATTTCACAAATAATATGCTTGGGTTATTAATGGGGTATACTGTTAGACTAAAACAGAAAATATGGAAAGTCTGTTATGGTATTCTTCAATATTTTTCTAGACTACATTTTATTGGTAATACCAATTAGCTAAGTTTCGCAAAGTTAGCTAACTAAAAGCAGTCACTGAGCATGAGATCTCTGGAGATTGAAACATGGTGGGTTTACAGAAGTCAATAAGCTACAAACTTTAATTTCAGGCTTCCTAGTTTCAGTCATCCAACACTAAAATATATTGAACTTCAAGTCAATTCATTTAGACTCTAATGTGACCCCAATGGAATTCGATAAATATTAGCGACTAAATGACATCTAACCTAATAGGTAATTAATTAGCATAAAGGAAATAACATGATTTTCGAACTGCTTTTTATGGTTGACATCATGGGTTGATCTTGGTAAGATAATTACTGATAACTATGGAATTACTGAAAAGGAGTTTTGTCTTAATATAGGGGTACTTGATATTATGTATTCACGACACCTTGAGTTATCAGATGTCACAGACAGATCTCAGCCTTTAAACACCTGGCATCTGATAGTTTACCTTAATAAATTTGCCGATTCAAAATCATCTTCCAGTCTCATTCAAAGGTAATTACATCACATTCAAGATGCTTGAACTTCATTGGTCACGTCTTCTCACTAGGACTTCTGGATTACCATTCGAAACTAATCGCTAGTGATACTTATGGTCCATGTTTATTTTCTAACTAAGCTTAGTACGTGATAAACACTATAAAGTATAACAATCTCCACAAATCCCCTGCAATACTAACTCCTCTTTTATTTCGATTTCCGACTACGCAGTAATTTGTCAATATTCAGTAAGATAATCCCCTTCGAATGGCTTTCATTTTTACAGCATTATTCATACGATGTTATTATTTAATTATAGAGTGTGATTATGAAGCTGTTGATGAGAAAACTAATAAACTACATACATAGACTTAATCCATTTAGCTTATATTTTACTCACTACTAGTCATCAACGCAATATGTATGTTAACTTGAGCAAATAGTATTCATATTAGAAATGTTAATATAATGTTACTCTATTCTAAAACTGTGTTTATCATATCCAATTGATAATAAACTATTCGAATAGATCTCTACTTTCGGTTATTTTTTATAGCTTAAACAGTTTATAATTTGCTGATTAACATTTATGTTGATCTCAGTAGTTCAGGAACTAAGAAGTCAAACATTTCTTTTCAAAGTGAAAATGTACTTATCAATGATAAATGTAAACAAAAATGCCGAATACTACAATTTAAATCAATCGCTTTTGGCTTTCAGACAAATAATTATGTTAAAACTTATGTTAAAGTGCTTATTGCAATTTAAATTAATTTTTGAATTTGTCAGTTACCATATAAATGTGATTTGTATAATTAGTTATCCACTGAGTAGTGAGCACTACCACGTTTCTCTAGTCCTGCAGAGTCAATCAAACTCCACTGATTACGTCACAATGTAGTCATTAGTCTTATGAATTGACATCGTGTATACTATGTTAAGTAGTTGGAGGTAGCTAGTAAGAAACTCTGAATTAGTATAAACTTACAAGAGTGACATAACATTCATCACTACTAAGTGATCAGTCAGTTGTAAATAGCTTAATTTTATAAGAAGTGACTCGAGATCAGAATAGCTCAATGGGAACGCCTCAAACTGTGAATCTAAATGAATCGAATTCACCTTGTTAATGAATTTCGATTAGTATGAAGCCTAAATTAAGCAGAATTTCATATCTATTGCCTCGAACCATCAAAACAGATATGATTTGTTTCTATATTATCTAAGTAGTGTTTTATTTTCCAAATAATGTTATCAATTATTTATTAAAATCAGATGGGTTTTGTGGATATTGTAGTAATTTTAATGGTTAAGATCATGAGTCAGTTGAAGCTAGACCACCATGGAAAACCTGGAAACACTGGTTGGCCGTTTCGTCCAATTGACTCATGATCTTAACTATTAAAATTACTACAATATACACAAGAAAAACCTGATACTACTCAACATATGCTCACTAATGACTGGCTTCAAGTGGTATTTCTTGGAGTTCTAGTGAGAAGCAGTGACCAGTGGAGCTCAACCAGGTCTGTTGTGAGATGGTAACTCACAGAAGACAATGGTGGGTATGTCACTCAATTTCGTGGATTAGTTGAAGTAAGACATTAACACCGCTGGATGCCGGTCAGTTCAGTGGTCTAGTAATTAAGTGCTTGCGTGCGAAACCATAAGGTCCTGGGTTCGAATCTCTCAGGGGGCGAGGTCGTGGATGCACACCACTGAGGAGTCCCACAATAGGACGAAACGGCCGTCCAGTTCTTCCAGGTTTTTCATGATGGTCTAGCTTCAATTGACTCATGATCTTAACCATTGAAATTATTTATCAGTTGTGATCATATGATAATTTTCAAAATGGATGATTAAATAGTTACAAATTTAACTAATTTTAATAAACTTATATCAAAAGTAATTAGGAATATTTCAATTTGATAATTACAAAGTCCCTACTTATAACACTAAGACTTGATTATTTAATAGAGAGGAAAAAATTCTTCATTCAAATGTAAGATAATTTTGATAATACCATATAAATGTTAAATGTACGTGGGTGTTATTTAATATATATATTCCAGTTATATTATTCTTTTTAAATACAAATATTTGTCAGGAAACTAAGAGTATCTATAGTTTTAATACTGTAAATAATGATAATAATGATTTTTTTTTCTTTCTTTCTTTCTTTTCTCTGTTAAACGTTGTTTGCATTTTTCTCATATCGTGGAATAATTCATGCCAGATGTTTTAGTATTGTACAACATTTCTCTTTTTCTTTCCTTCTTTCTTTGTCTCTCTCTCTCGCTCGCTCTCTCGCTCTCGAGTCTTACACACACGTTTAACTTTATTTCGGAATATTATTTACTCAGACAAACAAAAACAAGACAAAAAAAACCCCGGATTTTTTTTGTATTAACGTGTTAATTTCTAGTCAGATGCATTGATTTTACCATAAAATTTACTTCTATTATCTTTTTTTACTACCATTCTGTTCATAATATTACAAAGAGAAATGTTCATTGAGTAAAGAAAGAATAATGTAAAACCCATATGTTTTGTTTATATTGAAGTTTCAAAAAGTTCTCAACAGTGTAAATCTATGGACTTATACATTTTAAGTATTTTTTTTTTGGTGAAATTTTTGAGCATGATAATATTAGGCAAGGAAAAAGTTGCCGACATTCATCGATTTCATTTGTTCTTTTGTTGTATGGTTTTATTACCACCATTTAGTGTATGATTCTCAGCAAGGTAGACATAAGTGTACAATTATTTAGAATATATGTATTTGTTATAACGCTCGGTTTTCTTCATCTACATGAATCGGATATTAATTTGACTTAGATGAATATCTACACTAGATACCTTTTCAGTGTTTATTTCAAAGGACTTCAACATAATTCAGATCAAGAATATATGATTAGTCTGTCTAGAATGTAAATATATTTCCACACCAAAAAACCGAAAGCAAACCGTCAACAAGCACAATAATAATAAGGATAAGAGAATATATAACTTATCTAGTACCTGTCAGACTATTTACTAGTCTAACTAAGTAAACAATCAGCCATTGTCATCCTCGTTCACAAATCAGTATTTCAGTTAACAGTGGGACATAGAATACGAATTTTGCCTAATCTGGGAGACACCAACTGAATGGGCTTGAATCCCAGTGTTGAGAGTCACATTATTACATCAACTTAGTGACTTACTTTTCAAATGCCAGTGTGTTATCCACTGAGCTACTGAATCCAGATAACCAATTGATAAATGGGTATGAAATTTATATTATTATTATTAATGACTTGATTTAGTAGTTGTTGGTATTCAGTACTTCGTTTCTGTTAGCCTATATTATCATATGTACACATAGTCCTTCTTTCTACAGGAGAACGTTGGTTTTCGTTTGTCAATGTTATCATTAGAAACAGGATACAGGTGTATTAAAGTGATGACTTATAAACAGGATTTAATTAGTATACTGGGTCTCATTGATAGCCACAACTGATCTGTGTTATTTAATTTGGTTGTATTGAGGCACCCTTCATAGGATGCACAAATGTCAATGAAGACTCATGAATATTCAGTCCTAAATATTAACAAACAAGATTGATCTGAACAATTGTACACTATTTTCACGATTAATCTGTACATGATTTGATCTACTGCATGACTATCGTCGCACTACCAGTGTAATTGGACTAGATTATGAACGTTTTCTTCAGTAAATTGATCTGCAAGCTAACGAAATGCGAGCAAATAGTGGATACTTAATTTTTGAAGATTAATTCAGTTAGATTTTTTAGGTTGCAATGCACATGTAGTGAACGAGAACTGGGTATAACCAATTTACTGTTTAATACAAAATTCCAGGATATCTTCGTAAAATGTGAAGCTTTATTTACTTGCTCCTGTTACCCCTCATCGAGGGGCATAGGCCGACAACCATCATTCACCATCCAACTTTGTACTGGACATTCTTTTCCATTTCTTTTCAGTTGCTATTCATCTTTTTCATATCTACTTCCGATTCCCGACACGATGTGTCTTTCGGCCTTCTGATTTTCCGTTTCCCTTCAGCATTCCATGTTAGTGCTTCCCTCGTGATGCAATTTGGTGATTTACTCAGTGTATGTCCCATCCACTTCCAACATCTTTTCTTCATTTCCTCTTCAGCTGGATGCTGGTTTGTCATCTCCCACAATAGGTTGTTGGTGGTATCCGGTCAACGGACATTCGGTAACTTGAATAGAAAATTGTTCATAAATACTTGTAGTAGTTCTCCGCGTTTCAGATCCATACAGTAGAACTGTCTTGACGTTCGTATCGAAGATTCTGAATTTTATATTGGTTGACAATTATTTTGATTCCCATATGTTCGTCAATTGTAGGAATACCGCCCTTACTTAACCGATCCTCGCCTTTACGTTTGCATCAGATCATCCACGTTCATCGATGACGTTTCTCCGATAGATTCCACATATTCCAGGGTTTCTCCATCAAGTAACGTTTGGTTGGTGTTCTCCGTATTGCATTTGAGGATCTTGGCTCCCGTGTGTATATTAAGGCTTACTGATGCAAAGGCTGATGCTACACTAGTTATCTTCATCTGCATTTGTTCGTAGTATATTGTCAGGCAAGACTTTTTTCCCACTACTGATTTGTCTGATGACCATCTCGATTTCTTCGATCGTTGGTGGAGTGATAGCTATAGGGCGGTCTTAGTGTGCTGTTTCGATATCTGGTGTATTTAATGGATCTGGCTTATTCAGGAGTTCTTCAAAGTGTTCTACCCATCTATTCCTCTGTTAATAAATCTCAGTGTTTGACGTGTCTTCTTTGTCCTTGATCAGCCTCGCTGGTTTACTATATTTCCCTACCAGTTACTTCGTTGTATCACAAGGTTGTCTGATGTTTCTTTCTGTTGCAACATTTTCCTCTGTCATTGCAAGTTCTTCCACATATTTCTAGTGCTTGTTTGTTTCTGTGCATTCAGCTTGTGCCTTGACTTTCTCTTCCTAAAGTGTGATAACCATACATGAAACACTTCGTTTGCGAATTTCCCATCAATTGTCTTTCACATTCTGAATGATTCTTTCTAATTCACAATTCCTTTCTATTTCCCTTTCTGTTCTCTTCAATTCGATCTTCTTAGCCTTCTGCTGCTTGGCATTCAACTTTTGATTGGTTTTACATACTACGTATGTCTGTCAACGTAAGTAGCATACACCACATATGTATAGTACTCAGAAGTCTATATATATACTAAAGTATTAATGAGAAAACAATTTTTTCGCACAAACCATAAATAGTAATGGAAAAAAGACGAATAAAGCATGTGACGATCAGTACATTATTCATTTATCTTCTGTCGAAAAATATAATACTTCAAGTTGGTTAAACTAATTTCTTCAATATTAGTGTAATTATAACCATCATAAAAGTTAGTTATTCTGGTTGATTGTTTTTTCTCCGCATGATTATTACAATAATGAATAATGGTGTCCTCTAGAAATCGCCCAAATAATGAATAGACTTAATCATGCATAAACTTCTTTACTTTTCAATAGAATTCAATATATGTTATGTATTATATGAGAAGTTTTGTTTACATTTTCACTAGCTCAATACATTTTCTTTAAAATAATGTTAGCCACGGATTAAAATATCGATAGTAATGAAAAGAATAAATATGATTATGTTCCTTATTTTCATGAGGAATGCAATGTGAAACAATAAGTCATCAATAATTATTTGCTACAAAATTAATTGAT